CCCAGCCAGCATGACAGAGTACCTTTCCTCTCAGGCTGCCCAAAACCCTCATCAGATTGAGTCTGCCCAGGAATAGACAAATGCTATCTCACTGTAGCTTTAATTTGCCTTTCTCTATGATGTGTGAGGTTCAGCAGCTTTGCATATGTTTAGGAGACATTTGTGTTTTCTTTTCTGTGGAATGCCTTATCTTTTGCCCATTTTTCTGTTGGGCTGTTGGTGTTTTTCCTCAGCACTCTTATATTAGTGAAGTTAGCCCTTTGTCTGTGGTATGTGTTATTTTCCTGCCAGTGTATCTTTTGACCTTACTTATGGGTGTGTGTGTGTAGTAGTAGTAGAAGAATTATCTCTTCCCTTCTTTTTTCTTTTTTGAGACAGGGTCTCACTCTTGTCACCCAGGCTGGAGTGCAGTAGCACAATCATGGCTCACTGCAGCCTCGATTTCCTGGGCTCAAGTGATCCTCCCACCTTAGCCTCCCAAGTAGCTGGGACTACAGGTGCATGTCATAACACCCAACTAATTTGCTTTCTTTCTCTCTCTCTCTTTCTCTCTCTCTCTCTTTCTTTCTTGAGATGGAGTTTTGCTCTTGTTGCCCAGGCTGGAGTGCATGTGCCATCTTGGCTTACCACAACCTCCGACTCCCAGGTTCAAGCGACCCTCCTGCCTCAGGCTCCCGAGTAGCTAGGATTACAGGCATGCACCATGCCGGGCTAATATTATATTTTTAGTAGAGACAGGGTTTCTCCATGTTTGTCAGATTGGTCTCCAACTCCTCATCTCAGGTGATCAGCCCGCCTCAGCCTCCCAAAGTGCTGGGATAACAGGCGTGAGCCACCATGCCGGGCTAATTATGTTTCTTTTTGTAGAGACCAGGGTCCCACTCTGTTGTCTGGGCTGGTCTTGAACTCCTGGACTCCTCAAGCAGTCCTCCCACCTCTGCCTCTCAAAGTACTAGGATTACACATATGAGCCATTGTGCCGGCTTCTCTTTTCTTTTTCTTTTTCTTTTTTTGAGATGAAGTCTCACTCTATTGCCCAGACTGGAGTGCGGTGGCATGATCTCAGCTCACTGCAACCTTCGCCTCCCAGGTTCAAGTGATTCTCCTGCCTCAGCCTCCTGAGTAGCTGGGAGTACAGGTTCGCACCACCATGCCCAGCTAATTTTTGTATTTTTAGTAGAGATGGGGTTTAACCATGCTGGTCAGACTGCTCTTGAACTTCTGACCTCATGATCCACCCGCCTTGGCCTCCCAAAGTGCTGGGATTACAGGTGTGAGCCACTGTGCCTGGCCTTATCTTTTATGGCTTCTGGATTTTGATCCAAAGCAAGAAAGGCTTTGTCCATCTGAGATTATAAATAGGATTTCTCCTATTTCTCCTGGTACTTCTATGGTTTCATATCATACATTTAAATCTTTGGTCCTTTTGGAATTCATCCTTTTGTGTGTACAGTGTAAGAATGGGTCCAACTTTTTTTCTAGTTAGCTAACGTTATTTATTCTATTTTTTAGACATGGGCGCTCACTATATTGCCCAGGGTGGTCTCAAACTCCTGGTCTCAAGCGTTCTTCACGCTTCAGTCTCCCTAGCTGGGATTGCAGGCATGAGCCACTGTGCCCAGCTAACACTGTTTTTGTTTTTGACTTTTCATTGCATGGATTTTAATGCTAAATTTACTCTTGCTCCATAAGTTTTTGTTTCTTCAGTTTCTTCTGGGATATCTTTTTCTTCTGGGCCAACCTCCTCCTCTGGTTTAGGGACAGTCTGTTCCTTTCCAATAAGGCTCATCTCGAAGTGGCAGGGAGAACTCACGCATGAGCTCTGCAGGTCTGGCGGTGCATTTTAGGTCCTTCGTTCACTTGGGTATTCTCAGTGCCCGGAGAATCTACCTCTAACCTTTAAGTTCAGCAGAACGCAGCATTTTCAAGCATGTGCAGCTAACATTCAGCACTCTTTTTAGGTCACCGACTTTGTGTCCAGCCCATTGTTGGCCTGGGCACACCTACCAACTTCACCATTGAAATGTCAGAATGGTACACACCGTTTCTGTAAAGTGACATCTTTCAGATACTTTGTGGCTTTTCATATATGCAAATCCTTGATGGCCTGGGCAGTTTCACGAGTGTTCTTAAAGTGAACATGAAGATTTGAACCTTTTGATTTGCATGATTTTGTGACATTCTCCAGGTCAAATGAATAGTGAACCATTTTCACAGATTACCTTAGGCCGCGTGGGGGAAGAGCTGTTTTTGCTTTTTTCAGACAGTCTTGCTCTGTCGCCCAGGCTGGATAGAGTGCAGTGGCACAATCTCAGCTCACCGCAACTTCCTCTTCTAGGGTTCAAGTGATCCTCCCACCTCAGCCTCCTCCCGAGTAGCTAGGACTATAGGTACATGCCACCATGCCTGGATAATTTTTTGTATTTCTTTGTAGAGATGAGGTTTCACACCATGTTGCGCAGGCTGGTCTCGAAATCCTAAGCTCAAGTGATCCTCCCACCTTGGCCACCCTAAGTGCTGCAATTACAAGCATGAGCCACTGTGCTCAGCTTGGCTCTATGTTTTGAGACAGGGCCTCATCTGTTGCCCAGGCTGGAGTGCAGTGGCGTGAACATGGCTCACTGCGGCCTCAACGTCCTGGACTCAAGGAACCCTCCTGCCTCAGCATCCCAAGCAGCTGAGACCACAGGCATGTGCCACCATGCCTGACTAATTGTCAGAAATTTCTTTTTTTTGAGGAGTCTCACTCTGTTGCCAGGCTAGAGTGCAGTGGCATGATCTCGGCTCACTGCAACCTCCACCTCCCAGGTTGAAGGGATTCTCCTGCCTCGGCCTCCTTAGTAGCTGGGATTACAGGCATGCACCACCACACCCAGCTAATTTTTTGTATTTTTAGTAGAGATAGGGTTTCACCATGTTGGCTAGGATGGTCTCGATCTCCTGATCTCGTGATCCACCTGCCCTCAGCCTCCTAAAAGTGGGATTACAGGTTTGAGCCACCATGCCCGGCCATTTTCAAATTTTTGTAGAGACGAAGTCTTGCTATGTTGCCCAGGCTGGACTTGAATTCCTGGACTCAAGCGATCCTCCCGCCTCGGACTCCTAGTGTCGGGATTACAGACAAGCCACTGTGCCCAGCCTAACACCATCTATTGTCCAAAACTTTATCATTTTCCTATTGCTTGAGATGCCGCCTTTATTAGTTATTAAATCTTTATAATATATTAAGGTCTATTTCTGGACTTTCTATTATGTACCTTTAATCTGTCTGTGCCAGTACCATAGTTTTAGTTATGAGCCTTTATATTTTAAAAAATGATGGAGCCAGTTCTCCTTATTTATGTTTTTGTCTCCAGTTTGTTTGTTTCTTCCTTCCTTCCTTCCCTCTTTCTCTCTTTCTCTCTCTCTCTCTTTCTTTCTTTTTTTTTTTTTTTGAGACAAAGTCTCACTCTGTCGTCCAGGCTGGAGTGCAGTGGTGTGATCTTGGCTCACTGCAACCTCCACCTCCAGGTTCAAGCAATTCTCCGCCTCAGCCTCCCGAGTAGCTGGGATTACAGTCACATGCCACCATGCCTGGCTAATTTTTGTATTTTTAGTAGAGATGGAGTTTTGCGATGTTGGCCAGGCTAGGCTTGAACTCCTGACCTCGGGTGATCTACCTGCCTTGGCCTCCCAAAGTGCGGGGATTACAGGCATGAGCTACGGTGCCAGGCTTTTATTTATTTATTTTATGTGAACCTTAGAATCATCTGGCATAGTTCCAAAATCAAGCGGCATTTTATTGGGTCTTGGTATTTTTGTTTAATCCCTCTGAGTGCTGCTATTTCTTAGCTTCTTTCTCTCCAAGCATGCCTCATTCGTTCTAAAGTCTTCTTCCCTTCTCTGTCCTTCACAATCCATCTATTTTGCTCCAATCTCTTTCTCTAACAATTTATTCTGCACATACTTACAAATGTCCACTCTGGGGCAGGCCTGCCCCATGCCCTGAAGATACAGAGAGGAACAAGACACAGTCCCTGGGCTCAGTCAGGGAGTCACACTGGAGCGGCTAACTTACTCACTTCTCCCCAAGTGTCATGGGTGAGAGGGAGCGGCACCTGTGATCTAGGTGTCTGAGTGTCTGTGCCTGTCTTTCTGCCTCGCTCCCCCACCCCAGCCTCTTTCTTTCTTAACTGGCCATGGTAGAGAGAATTGCCTTTAAAACTTGTGTATATTTTTGATGGAGTCCTATGCTTTCTGTTCTTCGGTTTAAAGGTAGGGGACAGGAATATTTCATTTTGCCTCATTTTATAAACTCTAGATTATTTATGTGGACTGCAGATTTTTTTTTTCCAGTGGTCTAATACGAAGCACTACAGTCAGGTCCACCAGGAAAACCGGCTCAGCCCCTCACTGCCAATCTAACTTCTAGCACGTTCAGTGTTCTGAGCTGCATTTTCATAATCTGGAAATAGGAATGACACTAGACCATACTAAGCAGAGTTCCACAAAGATTAGTGGTTATGACATTTCCAGGACCCCAAAGTAACCCTGATAGCAGCAAAGTGGCTGGGGACAGGTATCACTCCCCAGGGAGGTTTGTCTGCCTAGGCGGGCCTCCAAAGCAGACTAGTCAGTGGCAAACTGTGCTGGGCTCAGGTGAGAGCTTCTTTGCTAAGAACACGTTTCACTGGAGAAAATGTTTAAGTAGTTATTGCTCAACTACATACTGAATGGCAAAGGGATTTAGATGTTGGGTGTCATTACATTTCATTCTATTAACGAATTCATCACGTTGTCATTTGTGCCAGGTTGCCATTAAACTGTTACTGGTATTCATCGACCACAGTGTTAGCTAAAACCGAGAGAAAGATGGGCTGTGATGGAAGCCCGAGGCTCAGAATCTGACGCTGCCAGGCCTAGAGCGTCTCTGGCTGAACAGGGTCCCCCAGGATAGGGGTTAGGGTTATGTCTCCAGGGACCTGGTTTGCCCGCGGCTTTCCAGCGCCTTCTTTCCGCAGCACGACTTCAGTCTGGAGAGGAGGGCACTCTTCTGGGTGGAGGCCGCCAGCCGGGGACCCAGCCCGTACCAGTGCGGTGACCCGGGGACAGCGTCAGCCCCTCCAGCCTGGCTCTTGCTGGTCAGCCCCGAACATGTGCTGGCGCCTGTGCCAGCAGCCATCAGAGACCCGGAGGCCGGACCCCAAGAGAGGCCGAAGGAGGAGGGCGAGGATGAGGAAGAAGCCTCCTCTGGCAGCGAGGAAGACCCGGGCCCCTGCAGCCTCCCGGCAAGCCCCGTCCCGGGTCGTCGCCTGTGCTCGCTGGACCTGCTGCGTGGCGTGCGGTCGGAGCTGGCGGGGGCGCGGCGACGGCTCTCCGAGGGGAAGCTCGCCGCCCGGCCCCGCGCCCTCCTGCACGGCCTCCGCGGCCACCGCGCGCTGAGCGTGTCATCCAGACCCGCGTCACCCCTGGGGCCCGCGTCACCCCCGGGGCCCGCGTCACCCCTGGGACCCGCGGCCCAGCCCACCGCTGCCCCCGCGTCGCCCCCGCGGCCCTCCACGGCCGGTGCCATCCCTCCGCTGCGGAGCCACAAGCCCACGGTCGCGGTAAGAACTCTGCCTCCCTCTGAGTCCCTCCAAGGCCGCCACTCAGCAGCCCAGTCCCCTTGATCTGGGTGTCCAGCCCGGCCCGCAGCCTCAGTCCCCTCCTCTGAGCGCTTCTGCATCCTCCCTTGACCTGCTCCCACCTGGGCCTGTACCGTGTTGTCCCCCTGCGGCCCTAGAGTAGAGTAGTCCCTGCCATACCCCCGTTTACCACTATGCCTGCCTTGCCTTTTTTTTTTAGGGCGCAGGTCACAGTGGTTTTAATTATCCTGGACCTGTCTTTTCCAACCAAGGATGAGCTCTTTGGGGCAGGGACGGGATCGCATTGACGTTTGTTTCCAGAGCACCCAGCTGCCGACTTGACCCATAGAGGGCGCTCAGTGGATGTCTGCTGAATTAATGAACAAAGCGCAAATCTCGGGCTTCCCACTGGGTGGTGTTTGCTGTGGGCTGAGGAGCTGGAATATTCAATGGATAGTTACTTCCTGCCAGACACTGGGTTGGAGTGTCAAAACCACAGGATAGGGAGGGTTGGCCACGAGGGTGCGGGACCAGACCCTGCACTGTACCGCGGGATCAGGTGCTGAGGGAGAGTCAGGGCTGCTGCCGGCTGGAAAGGCTTCAGGATGGAGGAAGTGAACCCTGAAGAGCAGGGACAAGTGACCCTACAGTGGAACCACAGAAGCTTAAAGGTCCCTTCCAAATTGTTTAAGTGTCAGACTCCACAAAACATGGGTCAGGATTGGCAGCAGAAGGTGGTAGTGGGGCATAGCTTTCTGCCCCCAAGCAGCCCCACAGTCAGCCCAGGAGATGCTGCAGAATAAGCCAAGGTAGAATTCAATCCGAAAGACAGAGACCTGATGTCTGGTTTCTTTCTTTCTTTTTTTGAGACGGAGTCTCACTCTGTCGCCCAGGCTGGAGTGCCGTGGTACAGTCTCAGCTCACCACAACCTCCACCTCCTGGCTCAAGTGATTCTCCTGCCTCAGCCTCCTGAGTAGCTGAGATTACAGGTGTGTACCACTATGCCTGGCTAATTTTTGTATTTTTAGTAGAGATGGGGTTTCATCATGTTGGTCATGCTGGTCTCGAACCCCCGACCTCGTGATCCCGCCCACCTCAGCCTCCCAAAGTGCTGGAATTACAGGTGTGAACTACCACACCCAGCCCTGAGGTCTGGTTTCTTAACATGCACCAGTGTGTGACCTTAGGCAAGTCACGGAATGACCACTTCTCTACCTGCATAGTGAGCCAGCAACCGTTCACACAGTTGTTGAGAGCATACATAGTAGAGAAGAGGCTCTGTAGGTGGGGATAAGCCATGCCCACATCCAAGACCAGATGTTGATGCCAGGATGGCTCTGCCCTGGTCAAGATTGATTGAATTCTCCCAGCAACCCTGTGGGGATGAGACAGTATCCTGTAGATGATGGAAAATGAAGCAGAGAGTGGCGAAAAATCTTTTTCAAGGACATAAGAGTAGACTCAGCTCCTACTTTGAAGTTCTCCACCCTTGAGGTAGTAAAGGGCAGACCCTAGGATGAGGTCGTGTGGGGGGGAGCACTGAGAAGATGCTGATGGGTGGGAATTCGTGTGTGTTACGTATACACTCCCTCCCAGGAGCCAGGTGGCGGCTGGGTTTTCCCTAGGAGAAGGGGACAGGATGAAATATTCAGGGCTGGCAGAGAGGTACTTCCTCACAGGAGAAGGGTTGGGGTGACGACAGCCAAACCAATTGGAATTCCTTCAAGTCATTCTCCTTAATCCGGGGTCTGTTTTGGTTTCTCCAGCATCATAACTGAAGGGCTGGTGTTCCCAGTTCCTACTCTGCTCCATGCCCTGCCAAACCCCAGCCCAGCCAAACTTTAGTTTGGCCCCCCAAGGAGGGCCTGGTTGGGAAGACGTACCCCTTCTCCTCCCTCACCAAAGTATGGGGCAGCAAACCTGAGTAGGGTGGGGGTGCCAAGCGTGCGTTGCTCAGTCTGGTCATTAACATCTCTGAACCTTGATTTCAGTGTCTGCAAAATAAGACAGAAGGGACCTCACATTCCTTTTACTAGTCACTTTCCTCACATTGTCTTTTTTTTTTTTTTAGACAGTTTCACTGGTTGCCCAGGCTGGAGTGCAATGGTGTGATCTCAGCTAACTGCAACCTCTGCCTCCTGGCTTCAAGTGATTCTCCTGCCTCAGCCTCCCAAGTAGCTGGGCTTACAGGCATGCACCACCACACCTGGCTAATTTTGTATTTTTTAGTAGAGGCAGGGTTTTACCATGTTTGTTGGGCTGGTCTCGAACCCCTGACCTCAGGTGATCCACCTGCCTCGGCCTCCCAAAGTGTTGGGATTACAGGTGTGAGCCACTGTGCCCAGCCCCTCATATCGTCTTATTTAAGCCTCATAAGAGTCCTGTGAAGTAGCTTAGGGATTGCCCTTATTTTTCGCATGAGTAAACTGAGTAAGCATTAGAGAGTTGCGGTCTGCAGGACTCTAAGCCCTCCATAATATTAGCCCCTACAAAGAAGGTGGTACATAATGGAATTTTTTTTAATGTCCAGCCCAACTGGGTGTCACTTCCTGTGGTAACTGACATGTCCAGCCTGTCTGTATTTCAGTCCCTCAGCCCGTACACCTGTCTGCCACCTCTTGGGGGGGCACCCCAGCCTCTCAACTCCCACAAATCACACCCTGATACTGAGGCTGACCTGCTGTCCGCCCTGAGCCAGGAGGAGCAAGACCTCATTGGGCCAGTGGTTGCCCTGGGATATCCCCTGCAAAGGGCCATCATCGCTCTGCAGAAGACAGGGAGGCAGAGCCTAAGCCAGGTGAGTTGGGAGGAGGGACAGAGCTGATGGGTCGTGATGCTGGAGCCAGGTGACTGGACACATGGTTGTCACCTTTGGAGCGGTGGCATAGGCCCAACAATAGCATCAGCCAACCCCACAGCTCTGGAGCATCTATGGCCCCTCAGGGTTGTCCTGAGTGGGGCTGAGAGGGTTAGGCCTTTATACCCCTGCCTCAAATCAGTCATTGCATGCGGGAAGCGGGTGACTTGAGGTAAGTGGATCTCTGTAGTTAAGGTAATCCCTGAAGGGCCAGACAACTGAAGAGTGTCTCCAGCTCTCCTGGCATCTGTTCAGTGAAAGGGTCTGTGGCTGGAACATCACAGTCTGCTACACCAGGATCTACTCACTCACATTCTGTTCTTCTAATAGAGTTCACTCTATTGGAAGAATGGTGGACACATGATGACACACCAAGGACAGCAATCTGAGCCACTCTAATATTCGGAAGCAGGTCTTGACCCCTAATACAAGCCAAGAATGTAAGAGCACCTGCAGAGGAGTGAGGACCCCCAAAGTGCCTAAAAAGAGGTGCTAGTGACGAGATGCCTGTGATCTGAGTGTGATAGTGGTGTTTCTGTCATCTATTGCTGTGTAACAAACCACCCCAAAACTTGGTGGCTTGAGACAGCCATTTATTTGCTCATGATTGTCTGGCTTGGCAGTTTCAAGGTGGACTCGGCTAGGAGGTTCTTCTTCTTATCTCACCTGGAGTCTCATGTGGCTACAGTTTGGTGACTCACTTGGGGCTGAATGATCTAAGATGGCCTCATTCATTGTACAGTGGGTGGTGAAACTTGTCAGCTGGGCTGCATATCTCCAGCAAGCCACCCTACTTGGCTCCAAGAGTAAAAGCTGTAAGGCCTCTTGAGGCCTAGGCTGAAATTATACCTAGTCACTTCCACCTCATTCTATTGATCAAAGCATGTCATTGACCATTCCAGATTTAAACGGGGGAAAATAGACTCCATCTCTTGGTGGGAGAGGCTGCAAACAAATTTATGAACATTCTCAATCTACCACAAGGAGGTTTCAGTGATCAAGAAAGGCTTCATGGAGATAGCAACGTTGAGCTAGACCTCAAGGGTAGATAAGCTCTGACTGAAGGAAGGAGAAGGGGATATTCCAGGAGGGAAGGACAGTGCGAATAAAGAGGTGGGGGTGGGAGGGAAGTGTTTGGGAGCCCTGATCTGACCAGTCTTGTTGGAGGCGAGGGTGCGTGGGGCAGGCTGGTGGGAGATAAGACAAAGAGAATTGGGGGTAGATTTAGGGGTCTTGAAGGCTGGCCCGAGAATTGGATAAATGACCCAATAGGCAAGAGGAGGCATGGAAGGATTGTGAGGTCAGGAGGTGACATTGAATGCCATTGTCTATACCCCCATGTCCCCGCCTGAAAGTAACATCCTTCGTTATGTGGTTTTCTAAACGTCAGGACTCTTCATGGTTGGATAGCTGGTCCCAGGGGAGTTGGCATTTTTCATTTTTCTCCTGTCCCTGCCCCATCACCATCAGAAGGTTTGGACACCTCTCTAATCCCTGATGACTACTGACTGTTGGGTCCCTGAGGTTCAGAGCTGCCTGCTCCTGTGACAGGGAGTGGCAGAAGGAAAGTGACTTTCAAACAGGAGCCGGGGTGGGGCTGGGTAAACACACCTGGTCCCCTTGCCTGCCCACTCCTGCTTCTACTCTGGGTTCACCAGTTCATCCCCTATCCTGGGGGAGAATCTCCAGCATAGTGACCCCCGTGTGGCTAAAACGGCAGGGAGGGGCGCCGCTAGCATTTATTGCGCATTTTCCCTCATGGATCTCTGTCTGAGGGTGTTCCGTTAGGTGCATCACTCCTTTCAGTTCTGCAAGGTTGCTATTACATTATGATCTCTTTGCAGATGAGGAAACTGAGGCCAGGGAAGTTCCTACAGCCAGTCAGTGGCAGCACTGGAGTGGAGGCCAGCTGGTCTGATTCTGCATCTTGGTTGTGCAGCCTTTTATCTCATTTTCTGTGTGAGAACCTTCTAGGACAGCAGCACCGGCTGATCTGAGATCTAAGAGCAGATCTAAAGTCACCCCTACCTTCAGTACTTTCACCCCTAGTACTGAAAAGTCAGGGTCTTGGCCAAAATGCTGGCCAGGAGGGCTCTGACGTGCCTCCACAGTCCCTCCAGGCTCTGTGACAAGGCTGAGGTCTCAGGCCATCTCTCTGGGGATCTGAAGATGAGTCAGAGCCAGCCTGGGGCCCTGGCCTCCCAGTGAGTGGGCTGGAAGGATCTTACTGCATTGGGAACATTGTGATTCCAGATAGAGACTGACCACCTGCCTGGCACCCTGGATCTCTGGGTGGCCTTCCCCAGTGGACATTCGGGAGCCAGGCCCCAAGTGGGTAGGTCTGAGGGGCCTTTGGATGGCTTCATCTATCCTCCCCCACCAAGTTAGTATTTCCATCTGTTCTGTGAAGTCTTGGTAACCAAACAAGCCCGTTGGGTTCAGATTCCTCCTCCCATTGAAAGCCACGTACTGAAGTACATGCTTTTTTGGCCAAGACAAATGACAGATGGCCCAGGAGGAAGGGCGTCAGGTGATGGAGACAGAACAGCTAGAACAGCCAGGGAGAGAAGAAAAGATACAAAAGAAATTATGCATCACTCCTTTCCTTCCACAAGGCCTCATGTGCCTACTCTCTGCCTGCAGGACAGGCACAGGTACCATGTGTGAGGGGCCACAGGCCAGGCTCCATCTTTTTTTTTTTTTTTTTGAGACGGAGTTTCTCTCTTGTTACCCAGGCTGGAGTGCAATGGGGCAATCTCGGCTCACCACAACCTCCGCCTCCTGGGTTCAGGCAATTCTCCCGCCTCAGCCTCCTGAGCAGCTGGGATTACAGGCACGCGCCACCATGCCCAGCTAATTTTTTGTATTTTTAGTAGAGACGGGGTTTCACCATGTTGACCAGGATGGTCTCAATCTCTTGACTTCATGATCCACCCGCCTTGGCCTCCTAAAGTGCTGGGATTATAGGCGTGAGCCACCGCGCCCGACTCCAGGCTCCCTCTTTAAATACCTCAGTTTCTCAGTTCACAGGGTGGAGGAGGAATACGTGTTTGGAACCAGTGACTTCTGGGGGCCCCCTCCTGTGGCCTGAAGTTGACATCCTCACCCACCTGGGGGCCTGAGGCAAGTCCTGTAGGCCCAAAAGGTGACCAAATAGCAGAACCTTTGCAAAGGCAGACTCCCAGGGCTTATCCTGAAGGGTCACAGTCAGTGGATCTGGAGTAGACCCAGGGGCCTTTAATTTTTAAAAATTTGCTGATGGTTCTGATACTCACTGTGGCATGGTATGGATCAAGGTCAGCTGTCCCCATTCAGTGATTCTTAGTCTTGGGTGCACATTAGAATCACCTGGAGAGGCCGGGCGTGGTGGCTCATACCTGTAATCCCAGCACTTTGGGAGGCTGAGGCGTGTGGATCACGAGGTCAAGAGATCGAGACCATCTTGGCCAACATGGTGAAACCTCGTCTTTACTAAAAAATACAAAAATTAGCTGGGCGTGGTGGCATGTGTCTGTAGTCCCAGATACTCGGGAGGCTAAGGCAGGAGAATTGCTTGAACCCGGGAGGCGGAGGTTGCAGTGAGCCAAGATTGCGCCACTGCACTCCAGCCTGGTGCCTGGGAACAGAGTGAGACTCTGTCTCAAAAAAAAAAAAAAAAAAAATCACCTGGAGAGCCATAGCAAAAAACAACCCAATGCTCAGGCTACACCCCAGACCAATTATATGGAACCTCTGAAGATGAGGCCCAGACATTAGTCATTTTTCAAGTTCCCGAGGTGTTTGCAATAAGCACAGAGACTAGGCATTGCTATGAATGAATCAGAAGGCGGAGGCAGCGTCCACCCTTTGTCTTTGCCCACCCTTTCTCTGAAGGTGAAGTTTTCACCTTTAGAAACCCTGTCCTCCCCAAGAGAGCTCAAAGCCCCTCCTCTAGCAGCTGATCCCTCTGATGGACAAGGCATTCAGTGAGAGGTTGTATAACTGGGGCCCCAGTCCTGGGATCCTGGGCAGGGCACCCGCCTTGCCTGAACCTCAGTTTCTTCAACTGTGAAAGGAGGGCATGAGTGCATGGTTTTCAAAACGTGCTCAGAGCAGGTCTAGCAGTACTGGGCAGGAGCACCCGACTCTGGGCCTCCATCCCCCTGGCCCTGGTTCTCCAAGAGCAGCTCTGATCTTAGCCTGTTATTGCTGAAGCCTCCTGCTAAGACAAACACTTCAGGAGCTAACAACAGTGTGAAAACTGTTAGTCTAGATGATCTGTACTTTCATCCCGGCTCTGAAGGTCTACAGAAGCCCCACTCGTCCCTCCGCGTATACTCACAGTTCCTGTGGTCTGGAACCTTCATTTGGTACCTACACGCTATAAATCCTGCTTTGATTTGCCTGGCACTGATGCGGTCCTGCGTCTGGTTTATCTCCCCCACTAAGCCACGCGTTCCTTGAAGGCAGGTCCTCATTCATTTTATAAACACAGCATCCATGATTGGGCTCCTTCTGCCACCGTGCTGGGTGCTGGGGACACTGTGGTGAACGAGACTGACACAGCCCCTCTGTCATGGAGCAAAAAGTTAGTGGATGAGAAAGATTTAGTGCAGCAATTACAAACTTATATGTGCTGTAACGGGGAAGCACGGGGTGCTAGGGGGCAAGAGGGATGGCACCAGGAGGACGGAGCGGGCAGGAGGCTTCCCAGGGATGGAGAAGGAGGCCGGCCTTGGCTGAGGGAGCTGCATATGCAGAGGCCTGGAGGGTGAGGGAGGAGCCGAGGCCATAGACAGGGAGCAGGCCTTCGAGTCCTGCCTGGTAAGGAGGCAGCATTTTATCCGGGGCCCCTGATGACTTAAGCGTGGAGTGACCAGAACAGTTTTTGCGACCTGTGGGGTCCTCCTCTGCGCCTCCCCCACACCCCTTCTCCAGCATTGGCGCAGGAGTTGAACAGTAGTGGCTCAGGTGTCCTGGATGAGAGAGATGCAGCTGGGGGTAGATTAGGAGTGCACGGGTGTGGACGGATGAGCATCTTCACGTGAGCCGGTGCTCTGGGGAGGGGGGTGGTGCATGAATGTTGAATTGCGTTGAGTGGTAGGTGGGATGCCTGCGTGTGAAGCCTGTCTTGCTCCCCATCTAGGTTCTATGAACACCTAGGTTCTAGCCCACCCTGACTTTCCTTTTCCTGGAGTCCTGCCTCCAGCTTGGGACAGTTGGTGAAGACCCACTGTCTGCCTGTCCCCAGATCCTCAGAGGAAGCCTCTATCCCCCTTCTGTGGGCTCACGGGATCTGGGGCCACACTGCATGTGGTGGCTTGCCCAGTCTTCTGGCACTCAGCTCAGGCCGTTGGAGTGCCTCCCTGCCCCGTCTGCTGCCCCTGCTCCTCTGCTTACCCTCCCTCCCTCTCTGCCCACTTCTGGCCCAGTTTCTCAGCTACCTCAGCGCCTGTGACCGCCTGCTACGCCAGGGCTATGAGGAAGGCCTGGTGGACGAGGCCATGGAGATGTTCCAGTTCTCTGAGAGCCAGGTCAGCAGGGCTTCCTGCCAGGGCCCCAGGGGATGGAAGGGAGTGTGGGGGGTACCCAGGAACCCAGTGTGCAGGGGCACATGAGTCCTCAGAGCCAGCCTACGGGTCTGTCAGGAAGACTGCCTGCCTCCTCAGCCCTGGGGAGGAGCCGGCCCAGGGCGCTGCAGCAGGGGCAAAGGCGAGAGGCACAGAGGGAGGTCGGGAAGAGGTGGGAGGGAGGCAGGAGGCAAAGAGCAGCGGGGGCTTTGCTTTATTAGGCTAAATCAGTGCAGCCACTGTGACTGAGTGCCCACTTTTTGTCACACACCAAGATAGGAGCCATGGGCCGCACAAAGATGCATGACCTCCCTGCTTGGGAGTGTGCTGCCTACCCCGAGTGCATGCAGCTGTAGGCCCAATAGCTGTAGGCCACTTCTTGTTTTTTGAGACTGAAGTCTCGCTCTGTTGCCCAGGCTGGAGTGCAGGGGTGTGATCTTGGCTCACTGCAACCTCTGCCTCCCGGGTTCAAGTGATTCTCCTGCCTTGGCCTCCCAAGGAGCTGGGATTACAGGTGCACACCACCATGCTTGGCTAATTTTTTTTTTTTTTTTGTATTTACTGGAGATGGGGTTTCATCATGCTGGCTAGGCTCATCTCGAACTCCTGACCTCAACTGATTCACCTGCCTCAGCCTTCCAGTGTTGGGATTACAGGCATGAGCCACCACACCCAGCCCCAATAGTCACTTCTGAGCATTCCATGGCAGAGCAGCTGTTCACAGAGGCTGAAGGGGACAGAGGGTTGGGTGAGACCCCAAGAAGGAGAGAGGGAGGAAAAGTGGGGAAGTTTTAAGCCCCGGGGTCGGGGTGGGGAGGGAAGGAAGGTGCAGGCTGTGCTGTGAGACCTCCATAGTGTTCAGGGCATGGGCAGGGACCTTGGGCTGTTCCTGCTCCTGGTGCCAGTGTGCTGTCTTCCTCATCCTGCCCCAGCAGAAAGTTGAGAGTGACTGGGAGGAATGGGAGGAGAGTCAGGGCAGAGCCTAGGGCCAGGCTGGAGCCTTCTTTCCTTGGCAGAGGAAGAGGAAGGGAGGTTGGAGCCTATGTCCCCCAGTAGTACAGGAAAGTGGCAGGTGTGGCCCAGGATCAGGCTCACGTGGCCCAGGAAGAGCCACAGCTTTTTGGGACTAGGTGCAGCAGGCACTGGAGCTGGGGCTTCCCAGGGCTGAGGCCAGACCCAGCAGAGTCCCCGGCACCTCCCTGTCTCCTCTTCCTCAGGCTGGGGAGTTCCTGCGCCTCTGGGAGCAGTTCAGTGACATGGGCTTCCAGCAGGACCGAATCAAGGAGGTGCTGCTGGTCCATGGCAACCGCCGAGAGCAAGCCCTGGAGGAGCTGGTAGCCTGTGCCCAGTGACCACGGGGGCACTCCACGATGCCTGGGCGTCCAGGTCCAGGGCCCGAGCTGACAACCCATCCTAACTGTGTTATTAAAACCAAAATAAGGGCTGGGCGCGGTGGCTCAAGCCTGTAATCCCAGCACTTTGGGAGGCCGAGGCGGGTGGATCACAAGGTCAAGAGATCGAGACCATCCTGGTCAACATGGTGAAACCCCGTCTCTACTAAAAATACAAAAAATCAGCTGGGCATGGTAGCGTGTGCCTGTAATCCCAGCTACTCGGGAGGCTGAGGCAGGAGAATTGCCTGAACCCAGGAGGCGGAGGTTGCGGTGAGCTGAGATCGCGACATTGCATTCCAGCCTGGGTAACAAGAGTGAAACTCCGTCTCAAAAAATAAATAAATAAAATAAAACCAAAATAAGAGTAACAAAATGATGCGTGCTTATTGTAAAAACACAAATGATGCCAAGGGTGACAGTGAACAACAAAAGAATCTGCTGAGAGAGTTGAAATGGTTGCCTCCGCGGAGGGGCAGATGGGAGACCCTGACGGGGAGCTGTGTTCTTCATGCACGCCTGTAAAACCACCTGATTGGACTCTTAACACTGCATGCATGAGTAACCTTGATTCTGAGGAAATTAAAACAAATAAATAATGGGCAGTTCTTTCGAGTCCTGGAGGCGCCTGATCTTGGTGTGGAAAGAGCATCAAACTGTAGTCAGAAGACCTAACTTCTGATTTTAGGGCTGTTGATATCTGGGTCAAGGCCTTGCTGGGCCTGTTTGCCTAGGAAAAGTAGAAAGATTTGACCAGGTCAAAAGGTTCCAGACCTGGCTGCTATCCATAAGAATCCTTGGGGTGTTTCTTCAGGAGTCCCAGGCCCCATCCCCGAAGCCCAGCTTGACAGCCCAGGAATCTGTTTTGTTTATGTAAGAAGATCTCTGGCTGGGTGTGGTGGCTCATGTCTGTAATCCCAGCACTCTGAGAGGCCGAGGTTGGGGGGAACACCTGAGGTCAGGAGTTCAAGACCAGTCTGACCAACATGAGAAACCCTATCTCTACCAAAAATACAAAGTTAGCCAGCATGGTGGTGCATGCCTGTAATCCCAGCTACTTGGGAGGCTGAGGCAGGAGAATCATTTGACCCCAGGGAGGTGGAGGTTGCAGTAAGCCAAGATCATGCCACTGCACTCCAGCCTGGGCAACAAAAGCAAAACTCTGTCTAAAAAAAAAAAAAAAAAAACAAGATCTCTGAGGATTATTTATTATATAACAGGCCTATGGCCAGTGTGTGTGACTTTCAGCCAGTCTGAGTCCCCTTCTGCTCTGACAATCTGTGATCCTATGCCAGCCTTCCCTCATTTGGGGGTGGGGAGGGTGCCACAGAGTTGCTTCTAGTCACCCAAGGCCTATCCTTTAGAAGTCCCCAAGGAGCAAGGGGACCAATTGCTGGAGCAGCCCATAATTCAGGCAAGCAGAGGTTAGGGGCCGAGACCCTGGTGCCCTTCCCAGCCGGGCCTGTGCAAAGACCTGCAACAATCACCACGGAATCAAAACATCTCACCTCTTCTACCCTGAAAACGTCTGGATCTGGAACAGAGGCCCGCAAAAAATGAACAACTTCCACATTTCTCAGGGCTTCAACCCCAGACACCTCATCTGAACAGGTAACGGGGACTTCTGAGGCCTGCACGCAACAAGTTTGGAACTAGAACCAGGTCTCCTGAGGCCCAAGAGCCCCTCGGTGCTTTCCACTAAGTCTCCATCCCTGCCAGCTTGAAATCACAATAAAAACATTCTTTGCACTGTCTTGAATAACTTGCAGGCCGTGCAAAACTATTAGAGAAAATGGGCAAGAGGTTGTAAAGTTGGACATATGTCTTGCCAAATATAAAACTATACTGGAAAGGGACAGTAAAATTAAAGTTCAATTTCTAAGAAGCAATGTTAGGTCCGAAGCTATTTATGTTCTGATTAAGGTGAACTGGCCTTGGTCCACCACTTTCCTAAGTCCCCTGGATTAGTCCCCTGCACCTCTGGGAGCAGGTCAGCCCACCAGTTGACAGGCCCATTATTCCTTTCCTTCTCCCACATGCCCAGAACCTGTCCATCCCTGGCAAACTATGGCTTGATTTAAAATGTGACATCTGGCCAGGTGCAGTGGCTCACACCTGTAATCCCAGAACTTTGGGAGGCCGAGACAGGCGGATCACTTGAGACCAGGAGTTTAAGACCAGCCTGGCCAACATGGCAAAACCCCAACTCTACTAAAAATAGAAAAATTGATCAGGTATGGTGGTGGACGCCTGTAATCCAAGCTATCTGGGAGGCTGAGATGGGAGGATCACTTGAATCCAGGAGGCAAAGGTTGTAGTGAGCTAAAATTGTTCCACTGCATTCCAGCCTAGGCAACAGAGCAAGACCCTATCCATTAAAAAAAAAATTGGGGAGGCCAAGGCAAGTGGGTCACCTGAGGTCAGGAGTTTGAGACCAGTCTGGCCAACATGGTGAAACCCCTTCTCTACTAAAAATAAAAAATAATTAGCTGGGTGAGGTGGTGGGGGCCTCTTATCCCAGCTACTTGGAAGGCTGAGGCAGGAGAATTGCCTGAACCCAGGAGGCAGAGGTTGCAGTGAGCGGAGATCACGCCATTGCACCCCATCTTGGGTGACAGAGTGAGACCCTGTCTCAAAAACAAAAACAAAAAAAGCCAGGTGTGGTAGCGTGTGCATGTAGTCCCAGCTACTTGGAAGACTGAAGTGGGAGGATCACCCGAGCCTGGAAGGTTAAGGCTGCAGTGTGCCGAGATCACGCCACCACATACTCCAGCCTGGGCTGTAACAGTGTGAGATCCCATCTCAAAAAAACAAAACAAAACAAAAACGGCCAGGCACAGTGGCTCATGCCTGTAATTCCAGCATGAGCTTGGGAGGCCGAGGTGGGCGGATCACGAGGTCAAGAGATCGAGACCATCCTGGCCAACATGGTGAAACCCTGTCTCTACTAAAATTACAAAAATTAGCTGGGTGTGGTGGCATGTAGTCCCAGCTACTCAGGAGATTGAGGCAGAAGAATCGCTTGAAATCAGGAGGTGGAGGCTGCAGTGAGCCAAGATTTCGCCATTGTACTCCAGCCTGGTGACAGAGCAAGACTCCATCTCAAAAAAAAAAATTTAGACATTAGAGGTAGGAAGATTGTGAGCCCATGAGTGTGAGGTTACAGCAAGCTACGATGGTGCCACAGCACTCCATAGTGGGATTCTGTCTCCAAACAAAAGACATCAGTGGGCAAAGTGTTTATTTAAAATATTTTTTAGGAGGTACAATAGTGTGGCAGTTAGAGGCATGGACTCTAAAGTCAGCTGTGGACTGAAACTGCAGCCTTAGCACTAACCAGCTGTGTGACCTTTTGAACATCACACAGCCTCTCTGTACCTCAGTGTCCTATCCATAAAATACAGATACTGAAACTCTCCAGCTGTGCTGACTGAGCAGGATAGCGCGCAGGAAGATCACGCCACAGTATCTCGTAGCTACTTATTTATACTTTTTTTTTTGAGATGGAGTCTTGCTCTGTTGCCCAGGCTGGAGTGCAGTGGCACGATCTTGACTCACTGCAACCCCCGCCTCCCAGGTTCAAGTGATTCTCCTGCCTCAGCCTCCTGAGTAGCTGGGATTACAGCGTGCCACCACATCCAGCTAACTTTTTTTGTATGTTTAGTAGAGATGGGTTTTCACCAAGTTGGCCAGGCTAGTCTCAAACTCCTGACCTCATGATCCGCCCATCTCGGCCTCCCAAAGTGCTGGGATTACAGGTGTGAGCCACTGCGCCCAGCCTTTATTTAGACATATTTATACTCTGCCTCATTTCCATCATTGTTACTTTTACTATGATCATCCTCCTCATCACTGTTACAATGAGCTAATCTCCAGCATTTATCATCAAACTCAGAGGCCCTGGGACCACTCTCTGTTTCTCAGGTCAGCAGGGTTAAAGACGGTGGCTGGTGCAGAGGATTCTGGGAGTGCCACCTGGGAGGACAATCCTTATAGTTAATACTAAGGAACAGCAGCAGCTGACACACCCAAGCACGGTCTGGACAAGAGGACCGCAAGAGCGGAGGCCAGGAGGATGGCAGGGTCCCGGTTCCAGGAGCACACCAAGGCCTGGCCCATGTAAGCAGAATGAAGCAAGTCCTGCCCTGGTTCTTGTCTCCCTCCTGTCCCCTTAGGCTTTGTCTCCTCTTCTGGGTTCCCACCATGTTCCGGAGGCCCAGTGGAGCAGCCTTTCGACTCTGACAGGAGCGATGTCTCCTAGCCCAGCAGGCTGAGAGCTCAAGGCCTTTACATGTTCCCTTCCTGCGGAAATGTGCACAGTGCCCTCTGTCTGGCTGACTTTCTGCCCCATTCTTAGAACCCTCATGATTCCACTGGGCCCACCCAGATAATCCAGGATAATCTCCCACCTCAAGATCCTTAATCCCGGCCGGGCGTGGTGGCTCATGCCTGTAATCCCAACACTTTGGGAGGCTGAAGAGAGAGGATCGCTTGCGGTCAGGTGTTCAAGACCAGCCTGGCCAACAGGGTGAAACCCTGTCTCTACTAAAACCACAAAGATTAGCCGGGCATTGTGGGCATGTGCCTGTAATCCCAGCTACTTGTGAGGCCAAGGCGGGAGAATTGCAGAGGTTACAGTGAGCTGAGATCATACCACTGCACTCTAGCCTGGGCGACAGAGTGAGACTGTCAAAAAAAAAAAAACAACTCTTAATCATAGCTGTAAAGTGCAGGTAACAGATTCACAGATTCTAGGAATTAGGATGTGGATGTCTTTGGGGGGCCATTATTCGGCCTACCAGAGAGGCACTGCTTAGGCTGGAATACACGTCTCATGGTGGCATTTCAGGCAATTGTGTTTGAATTAGACAAGCCTGGGCCCCCAGGCAGGCTCCAGCACACACAGCTGCCACCACTCCTCTCTCACCTCTGCTCTCTTGCTTCATCTCGAGTCAACCTTCCACAGCTGAGGACATTCTCCTAGCATGGGAGCAGCGCCAGCTGAGGAGCTGCCAATGCCTCCTCTGGGCCCTGACCCTTCCACTCCGGGGGAAGGGAACACACTTCTCAGGTCACCTTGGCCTCCAAGAATCAACTGAGGTAAGGAGCCCCTTCCCTCTTCTGAGACCCTCCTGCCCTGTCAGCCCCTTCCTTCCACACTCCGTCCCCCACCCGGCCCAGGCTGTCTCTAGCTGCCCTGGCCTCCTGTTTTGTCTGGAGATTAAAGAATTCCTTTGTTGACCTCTGCAGGGAACACTCTTTGCCTTTTAAGAGAGGACTCAGGAGACAAGGGAATGCTTATTTCAGGGTAATGGCTCACAAATGGTGGGGTTTTAGGTGCAGTGCAAGCTGTCCAAGGGAAGGCGTGACCCCCTC